GTTATCCACCCAATAGATTTGATCCGGTGGAATTCCAAGTTCGTTCAGCTTCTCTTGAAAGCGTCGATACAGTTCATCGTGACTTCTATATCCAATGGTGAATACGGTAGGATTCTTGAGATGTACCTTGACTGACAGGATCTTTTCCTTTTTGGGTATCGACGGCGGGGCGGCTTTCTCGGCTTCAACGGATTGCACCAGGTTGGTCTCCTCAGGAGTTTTGGCATTGTCAGCAGTCGACTGCTCCGTCATAGGTTTCTATGAAGGGAATATATTCGTCAGAGAAGCCTTGAGAAACACCTGGGAACGGCACAATCCTTTGAAAACTGCCTGGGCGGAGTCTGTTATGACGGGCCACGAATCGATTGCAATGACACATACCACCAGCAAAAGTGCAAAAGTTTGTTTTTCGCTGTTCTTCAACGCTGTGTGGGCCGGAAACCGAAGTGGAAAGTTGATTTCTGCAACAGACTCTTTGTTTATGACCACTCAAATTTGTCAGAAAACGACTCCTCACCATACATCAGCCACTATTCTTTGCCGTCTTAAATCTTGTCTAACTCAGCTGGCCATTATTCTGGAAGCAGTGCTCAAGATGCTCACAGCGGATACTTGNAGTGTCCAATCTTAGGTGGATGTTGGGTCCAAACTGTCCGCGAAGCAGCTGCTCCTCAATGACCGAGGCCTCCTTCGTGGTCTTGCATTATTGATGGGCAGCTGTTTCGCATGGCGGTGTAGAGATCGACTATAAAAATGCTCGCTAGGCCTCGACCAAAGCCAGTCACTGTTCGTCGCTCAACATTCGCCTCCTACTCCTCGCAACTGCATTATCAGGCTGGCTACTCGTCCATTCCTAACTAGTCACCTTTGACCAAATTATACAGCGGAGAAACTACTCTCCTTTGCTACGCCATCGGGTAAGCTAAGCTATGCTTACCTGATGGTGTAGCAAAGGGAAGTTAATCTTTTCCAAAGTATACCCCTTCTACACATCGCTACCCTCCTCTCCAGTGCTTCTTACAACATTTATTGTATCGACTGCAAATCTACTGAGTGAGTAGAAAATCCCGAAGAAAACGACGATAGCGATTGGGTAAGTCGACTTTCCACGTGGAAATTGAAATTGAAGGAACAACAATTGCTTCCTTTTTAGATATTCGCAGTTTACCATATTCACTTTCAAATTCTATGTATATACCTCATGTTACCTGTTATCTATAGATCTATGTTCACTGTCTATTCTATATTTTCTTGTGAAGTTTTTCGAAATTCTATAATTGGAATTAGCCGCACAGCAGCCGCTCGCGTTATTGTCTCGTTCATTGACTGATTTTTACTCATTTGGTTTTCCAAGAACTGAGAGCATACCAAATACTCATTAGTATCATCAATTATACCGCTAAAGAGTAATAGAAAG